AAAATGATATTAAATGTGAATTATTTGTGATGAAATATAATCAAATTACTGATTTCTAGAAATCATCATCTTTATTACACCATTGTTAGACCCACTGTTCAAAAAAAACTGTGCATCTTGGAGTTGCAATTTTATCAGTTTTGAAATTAATCATTATTTTTTTTCAAGCCTATTTCCTTTAAACATCGATCTGATCATGGAGATCAGATGTTTAAAGGAGCTTTGTGACACAGCTTTTCTTTTCAGATTCAATTTGTTAAAAGTAAAGTAAATCTAACACTCTCTAACTCATAGGTTTGAGCCCTAGTATATCCCTGATGTTTGAAAGCCCCTAAAAATTTGGAAAATGCAATTAATTTAGAAGCCCAAAGTATCATTAAAAAAATAAACCTTAAAAACAGAAATGAATCCACCACCCCTGCTCAAGATTTTGTAACACTTAAAGATCATAAACCTAATTTTCTAAACAAACTTCTTTGTAGGTTTTTGGTTCCCTCAAAAAGTAAGCTTGGACATGCAGCGCTTAGAATAAAGGTCAGCAGTTAGGTTGGCAATGCCAACCTAACTGCCAACCTAAAAGCATTTGAGGTTGGCAAAAAAACGCCGACCTCATTTCTAAGTTTTATGGTAAAACCTTTGCATCAAATTTTTGAAGATTATTGCCAAAATCATTTTTCCTTATTCCGAGGGCTTGACATGTAAGCAAACCTAAACTAGACAAAATTAATAACATTCTTAGAAATAAATTAAATTTATAATTTTTATTTTTATTACAGATATTTTAGATAAAACAATTGAATTAGCAAAAATCCACACATATATTGCAGAAGAGATTATTCATATAATAAAACATTGCAGAAAAAGCTTACTTTATTTTAATAAACTTGGACATTTGATGTACATGACTGCTTTGATGTAACAATGAGCAGTTATGATAGATATAAACTTATATTTAGTGATGATGGTTGTGATATATAAATAATATGGTACATAGCTTGAAAAAATTAAAAAACTATTTCTGAAAAATGCTTATTATGCCTTCAAGAAAAGTTTAAAATAATTATATGAACCTAGAATGTTTTTTAAACAAAAAATGGAAATTGATTTCTAAATGCATGCATGAAAATAAGTTTCTTTTGAAAAACTATAATAACTGAGCTAAAAAAATATATATATTAAAAAAAAAAAAGCAGAAGTGAACAATTCTAAAGAATTTGTTTTATAATAGTCAGCATATTCCACAAATGTGTAAAAATTTACAGTAGTTAAGATAATAAAGACTTCTTGTAATTTAAATTTTGGTATAAATTGAAGTTTTATTTGAACATTCATTTCTGATGCATTCAGCATCAGATACAAAGAGGAAAAATGAATATCTTGAAAATATGTTAAAATGGTTTTGGATTAGTAAATCTAGTGAAAAACTAATTGAAGATATTAAGAAGTGCAAGAAAAGTACTACCAAAGCGAAAAATGAAAATATTACCTTTATCATGGAACAACTGGGAAATAGGATGGAAGGAATAGAAACAAATGATAAAAAGTTTAATTACACTAAATAGATCATAAAAAAAGACATGTTCTAAGTTAAACATGGAAAAGGAACTAATCAACTCTGCACTCATATCACTCTGCACTCATATCACTCTGCACAGTTTAGTAAACTCTTTAAGTAGTGGAAACCATTTGGACAATGAATATGTAATATATTAAAAAAAAACAATCTACCTCTGTTGTTTTGTTGCCAAAAAATATTTTAAAGAAAACAGCTTTCACAGCAATAGGTGAGAGACTTTAAGTTAAGCAACACACAGTTACAGTTCCTGTTAAATTATTATCATTTCTAATTATTCTCCATTTTGATGGAAAGATAGTAAAAGAGTTCAATTTCCATTATAATGGAAAAGAGTATCAACTTCACAGACTTGCTGTTTCCATCAGGATAGGTGGACAAACTGAGCTTCTTTTTTTTTTTTTTTTTTTAATTCACCTCCACAAGGCCGAGAAGGCCACTACAGACGAGGAGGCTATTTATTTGTGGTTATAACCCTCTCTCAACTCTATAACTCCGAAACACGAACCTTGACAAACAAGGCCGCTGCGCGGAGAAACGAGTTAAGTGCGGTACTACCAGGGACGTGGTGGGGATCGAACTCAGAACCACTCCTTTATGAAGCTCTACCACTACACCACTACCGCATATTAACTTATTATATTACTTAACTTATTATATTACGCATTAATTATTAACTTATTATATTACGCATATTACTTGGGGTTCTTCATCTTAACTCTTGTACTAGAGAAATAAAGAAAAATTTTCTTCATCAATAAGTTGCAAAGTTTTTTAATAAAACTTCTGAAAATACTGGTAATTAAAAAAGTGTGTGCATTATGTTAGCCACAGAGCTTGACAAATCTTTACTTCTTCTAGTACACAGACATCACATCTATGAAAGACATGTTGTTCACTGCTGGAACATTTATCAGATCAGTAAAGAAAATGGCCCTAAAAATCCTTTGTTTAAAAAGCTCAAAGAAGTATGGACTTCAATTGATCAAAATACTGTTGTGTTAAAGTAAAAACTGAAGATATTTATGATGGCTGCTGAAGATACAGTTTAAGGAAGCCTTATCTTTTTCTCAAAATATTGTCAAGACAAAAACATTGCAGAAGGTATTAAAATTCTGAGTAAAAGAAATGCTCTATTAATATCTTTAGTAATATAGTGGTTTGTATTTAAATAAAAAGTGTTATTTAAAATGGGTACAGGTCTGATTATCTGAAATTAGCAGAATTGACAACAATGGTGATGAACAATATAGACTAAGAAAACCTGGACCTGTAACATCATACTAGATTTATGACAAAAGGAATATACTTTCTGAAAATGTATCCCCTTCTAGACAGCATTCCAAGCCATACTGATTTTGAGAAAAATGAATTAAAGATATGAATTAAAGATATTCTTTACAACTGTATTTTACACTGAGTGCTTTATCAGGTTCTCTCATTAGGCTTTATGAGTTTTGAAATTTCGGTTTAATTTTTTACTACACTTTGTAAGATATATTTTTAGGTTATACCTTGGTACAAAGACCCAAATACTGTAGTGTTGTCTTTTGCTGACAAAAATGTGCAAGAAAAAAGTGACATTGTAAAGAATTTTTACTCGACTCCTAACTACATTTAAATATATTATATAGCTAACTACATTTAAATATATTAAATTATTCATATATAAAAGTGATCGATAAATTACAAAATGAAGAGAAAAGACATCTGAAATGAATCTTGTACCTTTCTTGTATTGAACAAATATAAGAGCAGAAGATAAGAAAACTGATTATGTAGAGAATTCTTTTTTTACAAAATAAAAATAATAAATAAAACTAGTGTTTTCTGAAACTATGTACAAAGTTTTCAATTTTACTAAACAGAAAACTTATATAACGCAAAAATGATAAAAAAACTCTTTTTTTTTTAATTTTTTAATCTTCATAGCCTTAATAATGTATAAAATTATGTTTAACATTTTTATATTATTTTCTACTGGGTCAATTTATACTTCTTTCTACTGGGTATTTATATTTCTTTCTACTGGGTCAATCAACAATAAAAATTAAAAATAATAATAACGCATTTGAATAATCAGAACACTCCCCTCAGTTTAACTGAAAAAAAGAACAAAAAAATTACTTTCCAGATACATGTAATTATTATTTACCCATAATATTGAGTATACAAATTATTATTTATTTACCCATAATATTGAGTATACAAATTATTATTTATTTACCCATAATATTGAGTATACAAATTATTATTTATTTACCCATAATATTGAGTATACAAATGGGTTATTTATTGTATTAAAAAATAAATACAGTTAAATCAAAACAAAAAATAGAGAAAGAACCTCAAATACAGTTAGCTCATCAAGCCATCAATAACGAAACAATGACATATGACATTGTTTCATTATTAAGCTTCTAAATGTTTAAATGTGCCAAAATGATATGAAAATGGCAGGAAATGATATCAACCAATTAGTTTTAATGTTGCTCAAAGATTGACTAACACCTTTAGATATTATTGGTTGTTAACAATATTACTGGTTGTTAACACTATTACTGGTTGTTAACAATATTACTGGTTGTTAACAATATTACTGGTTGTTAACAATATTACGTGTCTATTGTTAAAAATATTACAAGTGCCTATTGTTAACAATATTACAAGTGCCAATTGTTAATAATATTACAAGTGCCTATTTTATAATTGGTATATTTTGTTACTTTATTGTATTGATGACTCCAATTGGTTTGTTAAAGCATTTAATTATAAATATTGACATTAAATTGTTATATTTTTGGCAAAAAAGTTATTGAATTTATCATTTCCAACATTTTTGTTTGAAACAATTGTTTTTATTTTTTCATTTAACATATTTCTATACAATGAATATTAAACATTTATATTACTGGAAATATTGCACTTGCATTTAACGGAGTTAATTTAAATGGCTTAAAAATTAAATTAAAAATAAATTTGAAATATGTACATTAAGTAATACAAAAAGTAAAATTGCTTCTTTTGTGTATTATGATATTATTATCATTTTCTTGATCAGTGGAATGCATGGTGAAATGAAATCAATAAATGTAACATGATTGTAGAACCCTACATATAAAATTCTAAAATAAAAAATATTACCAAAAAATAGCCAAGAATTAAGAATTAATTAATAATTAAAATAAACTTCTAAATTGAATGTTTAGAAAAGATAAAATTGGTTAATAGTTGTTCTTTTTATGCACCAATTTTTTATAAACAGTATTTAGGTGACATAATTGCTTCTAAATATTAAGCTCAAGAGTTTTTCATATACGAAAAATATTCACCTTGAAGAAAAATATTAACCTTGAAGAAAAATATTAACCTTGAAGAAAAATATTAACCTTGAAGAAAAATATTAACCTTGAAGAAAAATATTAACCTGAGCTCCTTTTATGTTTGGATATTTCCAACTTATAGTTCCATAACTTAAACTATCTTTTTGAACTAAAAACTCATCGATAACCTAAGTAAAAAAAAAATCCAAATACTTTTTAAAATACTTAACTTTAAAATTCTAATTCTACAAGATTTAATTATAAAAATTTAAAATTCTTCAAGTAATAAAGTTACCAAAATCAATAATATTGACAAATAAACTTAAAAAATTGTCTTTATTAATTTAATTGAAAACAACACCAAAAAAAATTTGGAAAGAAGGAAAATGATAAAAAAGAAAAGAAAGAAAGAAAAAGGTAAGTGAGAGAAAGGTAATAGAGTAATGCGGTGCTAAACAAAAGAACAAGACAAAAGAAGATTTAAACTAATTAAATGATATTTAACATTTTTTTATATATAATATATATATGTATATATATATATATATATATATATATATATATATATATATATATATATATATATATATATATATATATATATATATATATATGTATGTATATTTTATATATATATATATGTATTTATAAAAATTAAAGTATTGTTTTTATTCAATATAAAAGTATCGAGTTGTTATTATTATCCTTATTTATTTAACAATTGAATACTTTTACTTCTAGTTATAGAAATTAAAGTATTCAATTATTATGTCATCACAGATAACGCAATTGAGAAAAATTAATAAAGCGGTAACTGATTTATTTACTAGCAGTAATTGAGTCACAAAGTACAATAAAAAAAATGTAGAACAAATAAATGTTTCAGATTATGGAGTTGTCTCAAAAACATTTCTTTAATCAAAAATACTTACTAGTTTTGTAAAAAAAAAAAAGTTGAAAAAAAAATGTTGAAATAGTCTTTTGACACGTTTAAGGTTGATGACAAACAGACTTCAACCGAAGTTCAATTTGTTTGGTTCGAAGGGAAAAGTAACTGCTAATTTACCTATGGATTTAACATTTACAAAGCTATAATTGGTTATATATTACTTTGATTTTAAGTGTTTAAAATTAAGCAAGATGTTGTAGATCAACATTTTTTTAAATTATTATATACTTTTCTATTGAATTTTTTTATATATATTTATTTCTTTTTTACGGCTGCCTGTTGAAAATAAATGAGTTTAGTCAAATTCACAAAAAATAGGTGTAAAATTTTTCATGAACAAATTTAAAAAAAATTAAAAAATCAAAAAAAAAATCAGTTTACATGATAGTCGGGAATTTAACACATTTCAGTAAGGTAATTTTTATTTTTGGGGATTTTTTTTTTTTTTTTTTAAAGAAAGCAGAAAACTTTTAAAGGATTTGTCCCCTCCCTCTTCCTCAATTTATTCTTAGAATTACTCCTGCTGGTATTTACAGGAGCAATTAACAATTTGCTAGACCACCTTTTATTTAAAGTAACAAAAAGATTTAAGTAAAAAAAAAAAAGAGATTCTAGATTATAATAAAAAAGTATGGTCCAATGACATGTCAGCAGGTCAGATTTTAAAACCAGCAAAACCCAATTATTGTGATTCAGTACCAAATACCAATTAACAACAGTTGTTTTAAAAGTTAAAAATATGATTTACAACAAATAGAGTAAAGCAGGGTAAAATGAAATAAATGTAATTGAATGAGGTAGATATGGTTATGACAATGTTTCTTCTTTTCTTCCTAATTAATTATTGTATAACTTTATTGCAAATATTTTTCAATTGTTTAAAAAAATTGCATCAGTGAACTTAAAAATGTGTAAAATTAAATTTTTTATTTTCAGTTGAAACAGAAATGGTGAAAAGAGTTGAAGTAAAAAGCTTCAAAGTAAAAAGCTTCAAAGTAAAAAGCTTAAAAAAATTGCCATTTTTTTAAGCTTTCAACCATTCAAATTTTTTACAGAAATGTCAACAAATAGTTGTTTCAAACATGAGATTGCCGTAAAAACTTAAATCAACCCTGGTAGCATATCAAATTATCCAATCAGGACTTACACTAATATCATCACACTAGTTATCATCAAGGTCAATCTTGTCTGTTTTATTGAAGTACACAAGGGGTAAATACAAGTTTTTTTATCAACTGATGGGTTCATAAGTTACCATTGGCAATAACTCATCACTCAGCTTTTTACATGCAAGAAATAGTAGCAAAGTATTACAACAGTGAATCCAACAAAGCAAGAAAACACTTCATTAAGAAATCAGCCCATATTAAGAAGGCAGGTATTAAGGAAAAAACTACACTGCATTTGTAAATTTTGATGAAATTGTTTTTTTTAGTGACCAATGTAAAGCAAGCAACACATAGCTTGCAGGGGTGGTGCAACAACTATTGAAATTGGTTGGCAACAATGAAAAATCAATTATGCAGTTGGAAGTTGCATCAATACTTCTGGTATTTGTCTTGTAGCATACATCAAATTTAAATCAAAAGTTTGCGCTCAAGTGGTTCACCCAGATTTAAGATAAGCAAATCATAAAAAATGCTCACCCACATGCATGTTCCAGCCATTTAAAAAGATTTAGGTAATTAGTTTAATCAATTAATTATTCAATTAAATAAATCTAATAAAAGTTATGAAATTATAGGTATTCATACTTTTGGTTGACACGACTTATTGAGTCGTACATTACATTCTGCAACCACTAGATAGTGATTTTTATTGCCATGAATTTGACACATATTACTTCAACATTTTTATGCAAAGACAAATTCAGCAATTTATCAAAAGCATGCTTTAATCAACTGCAAGCACAACTTTACAGCTCTGGTGGCTATGGTTTTTAACCTGAGTCTTTTTCCTACAATCCACCAGAATCTATACCAGAAACACTAAATCCAAAACCAAAACTCTAAAATATCCAAAATAACAAAAAAAAACTAAAACAGTTACTACAACAGTACTACAGCAATTATTAGTTTTTCAAAAGAAAATTCAAAAAAAAAATTGAAAAACAGTTACAAATGGACCAATCACTTGCCACAGTTTTGCAACAAATATTTTACCCCTAAAACATTGAAAAAAAAAACTAAATGTCAAGGTGCCAAGATGGTACTATTGATTGAGGTGCTATTGATTGCCTCAATAAACTTAAAATACTTGAGAAATTGAAAGAAGTTGACTGCAAAAAAACAGTTAAGCTCAACATTGATAATGAGCAACAAATAAATCAGGCAACAACAGCAATTTCAACAACAAAAACAACAGCAGCAAAATGTGCTGTAAAGTCTTGGGCAAAAATTTAATATAATTTACTATTATATTTGGGCAAAGCCCAATACAATAGTATATTATATTTGTTTTCGCAATAATAAAAAAATATATTAAATTTTGACAATGATAAAAAAGTATATTAAACAGTTGTTTTTTCAACTATTATAATTGGTTGCTTTTTTTAATAAAGTTTTAATTACCTAATGATAATTAAAACTTTATTAAAAAAAGCAACTAATTATAACAATTATTTTTTTTAATTATCTAATGACTTACATATTTCATTCCCCAAATGTAAGGGTAGAATTATTTTTTTAATTAAATTAAAAAAACTAAAATATTTTTTTATTTTGTATTTGTATTTTATTTTAATTTGTATTTAAATACAGTTTTAAATTCTTTACAACTTTAGAGGCAAAAAAATTTCATGTAAAAAAAAAAATTCTATACTATTTCATTTGACCCCAATTTACTCAGATTTTTAAAGTACAATAAAGACTGATTTAGTCCAAATTAGTTAGCAAGATAAATGGCTGCATTAACTTCAGAATTAACTGGCACTGATATTGTGCACAATGAAGCAGTTCCAAAACAATTGAACAAGACTCATTGGTGGGACATGCCAGACATGCACAGTGGGCCCAGAAGGCAAAGTTTTGGAAATAGGATCATAACTAATGATTAAGAAATCCTAGAAAACTCATTGAGAACTTTTTAGAAAGATATTTTTTTGCTTGTTATAGGTAACTTAAAATTTTTAATATTAAACCAAATTTGTGGACTGGGTTCAAATTACCATACTTGGTTATTTTTGATAAATTGATATTTTTTGATAAATAATTCAAGTTAAAATTTTATTTAGATGACAATTGAAAGAGTAACTTATTAGAAACACTTAAAAAAAATAAAATTCAAAAATTTAAATAATTTGGGGGTCTGGTTTCTACTGATTATTGATAAAAAGTTTAGTACTTAAAAACGAGTATTTAGTTAAATTTGGATTTAAAATAATGTTAGTATAATAATGTTATTAAGAAAGAGTTCTAATGACTTGATCTTGCAACATATTTAAAGATAAAAAGTTAAAATAGTAAAAAATGTTAATAACTTCATAATTAATCATAAGATTTTCAAACATATCATCAAAATATCTATTTGTTTTTGAAAACATACGCTTATGAGATCTGCTTGTATGCTCATTTGAACCACAATCTTGGCATAACTTTGGAGGATGCGAATGGATAATTTGATTTAAAACACAATTATCCGATCTCTCTAAAAGACGACTCATCACATCCGTAAGCCTGTAAAGCCTGTACATTTTTTACTATTTTAACTTTTTATCTTTAAATATGTTGCAAGATCAAGTCATTAGAACTCTTTCCTAATAATATTATTATACTAACATTATTTTAAACCCAAATTTAACTAAATACTTGTTTTTAAGTACTAAACTTTTTATCAATAAACAGTAGAAAGCAGACCCCCAAATTATTTAAATTTTTGAATTTTATTTTCTTTAAGTATTTCTAATAAATTACTCTTTCAATTGTCATCTAAATAAAATTGTGGTAGTGGTGTAGTGGTAAGAGCGGTCGCTTTGTAAGCGAGAGGTTTGGAGTTCGACTCCCATGTCCCTGGAAGTACCGCGCTCAACTTAATTTCTCAGCGCAGCGGCCTTGCTTGTCAAGGTTCGTGTTTCGGAGTTAAAGAGTTGAGAGAGGGTTGTACCACAATTTACAACAAAAAATTAAAAAAATAAAAAAAAATGAGTAGCCTCCTCGACTGTAGTGGCCCCCTTGGGCCTTGGGGAGGTGAATAATAAAAAAAAAAAAAAGATGCGATGTCTTACGAGAGAGAAGCTTTAAATAGTTTCTTATATCTTTGTTGTTTGCTTCTAGACCTTCCTCTGATAAATTGCCAAGGCCATAACCATCATTAAAAATTATTAACTCAGCTGAATGATGAAGGACTTCGTGAAGAGTGTGGTTGAGTGTGGAAGAATGTTAAGTGTAGTATTATTGCATAACTCCTGAAATTAGTCTGTTTTAATTTTACGCTGACAAGAAACTAATCGAAGTATTACACTGATTTGAGAATGTAGTAGTAACTTGGTATCTTTGTACATAGGAGAACATAGTTTTTTTATGGTAGAAATTAACTCTTCAGAAAAAAATCTACAACCTTGTGACCCTGTTGTAGATGTTCCTCCCTTCTCACCAGTGTTACTACACATATCTAATCGCAGTCCAGTGTTTTATTTTATTTTAGTAATAACACTATTTTTTGCATTACGTATTGGTTCACCAAGTGGTCCTGTTTTTTCAAGCCAAAGTCTATAATCTATATGACACCAAAACAGTAGTTTTAAAAACCAGGTTGTTCCATTGATATATGAATGTGTAATACATATGCTTTTTTGATCGGATTTGGTTTGTGGCTTTTTTGTGTGTCAAAATCTCTCGTTTTAGTAGGAATGATACCATCCTTATTAACTAGCTTTTCATGCAACAGCCAAGTTTCTTCTGATGATTGATCAATCAGAAATCCTTCACTAACTTTTGTAATATCTGTCCATTCAGAAGTTTTTGTTTTGCAAAGTATACAATCTGCATCTCCTAGTCCGCTGATGAGTTGTTTAAATCTTAAATCCTTCATTGTATCTGCATCTCCTAGTCCGCTGATGAGTTGTTTAAATTTTAAATCCTTCATTGTATCTTGGGTCTTATAGTGCCACTCATGCTTTTAGATATCCGTGGATCTATTTGTTTACAAATTACGCAATGATATCAACACAGAAATAAAAAAACGTAAAAATTAAATTAAAATGGATCTGCAAGAATCAAAAAGACGAAGCATTCTGCAAATGTTGCAATCAGATAAGACTACATCAGATATCAGAAAGGCTTTAAACTGCTCCAGAACAGCAATTTTTCAAGTAAGAAAACTTTTTCATGAAACAGGAGATATCAAACGACGTTTTAATAATCTAAAACCTGTGAAACGATCACCTCGTAAGAAAAGTCAAGCGAAATCCATTGCGCTTCATCTGCCAGTTGGCAAGGGAAGCCAATGTTGCCAACTCCAAAATGCAAAAAGTTATGAAAGATTTGAACCTTAAATCCAGAGCTGTTGTGACTAAGCATCTTATCACTAATAAACAGAAAGAAAGTAGGAAAGAGCGATGCAAAAAACTGTTAAACTGGCGAAAATCTTACCCTGGGCGTGTGACAATCTTCTCTGATGAAAAACTTTTCACTGTGGATAAAGTTACTAATCGTCGTAACACAAGGTACCTTAGTACTGCCAAAACAGTAAAAGAAGTCCCTGAGAATATCAGGTATTCATTTTCATCAAAAAACCCTGCTTCTGTGATGGTACTTAGCGTGATAGCAAGTGATGGAAAAAAGTGTCCACCAGTTTTTGTGAAAAAAGGTCAAAAAATTGACAGTGATGAGTATATCCACCTCCTGCAAGAGAAGGTCGTTACCTGGTTAAACAAAAACTATCCAGATGGTCAGTATGTGTTTCAGCAGGATGGGGCACCAGCTCATACTTCAAAAAAGATACAAAATTTTCTCAGTAAAAACATGAGTCAGTACTGGGACAAATTAAAGTGGCCCCCATCTAGCCCAGATCTGAACCCATTAGACTTTTTTATGTGGACAGCTGTGGAGAAGGAGGCTTGCAAGATTCCCCATGGAAGTACGGAGTCATTAAAAAAATCTATATGCAAAGCATGGGCCAAAGTTCGAGAAGAAGATGTCAAGAATGCATGCAGATCCTTCCAGCGGCGTATCCATATTGTGCATGATGCCAATGGTGGCCACATTGAATAATTTTAAACCTTAGTCATGAATAAACATCTAGTCAAAATTCTAGTCAGTTATGAATTGAAATAAATTTTTTGTATTTTCAAATTTTTATATTTTTTGCGTTACAGTTGCTCGGTCACCCGGTATTTAAGATTATATTGACTAATTAAAAATAAAAACCAACAAAATAAAAAACAACAAAATAAAAAAACAAAATAAAAATCAACAATAAAATAAAAAATAAAGTAAAAAATAATAATGAAATAACCTTTTGGTTAGGAAAACTTTTGTCTTTAATTGCTTGCCTAAAAATGGATATATTTTGTTTATATTGCTTTTAGTTTTATTTTATTTGCAAATAGTCAAAATACTAGATTAATAGACTAATAAAAAAAAAATTTATTTCAATAGTTTGAATTAAAATTATACACAAACACAAGCTATAAGATTAATCGTGAAGTAGTTAAAAAATAAATGAAAAAACATACTTTATTTTACAAAGAAAAGAAGAAAATTTTTATCATTAAAACTTTTAAAAGCAAAAATGATATTTTCAAAATACAGTTTAAAAATTTGTTAGTTTTACTAACAATTATACAAATAATAAAAATAAATAATAATTCCTAAAAATTTAAATAGGCTGCAACTATTATTCATAGTTATTTCAGAACAATAAGTTTATTTATAAAAATAAAAAATAGGTTTAAATATTAAAAAGAAAAAAGTGAAATTTTAATGCTTACCAATTCAATAATAACCTTTCAAACTTGTAATTTATTTTCCAAAATTTTTTTTAACATTTTCTTATTTTGTTTCGCATTCAAAATTATTTTTGAAATGTAATTTTTTTTTTTTTATGAAAAAGTAAATTTATTTTTCAATCAATTTTCCAGATTACATTTATTCAGATTTAATTGCAGATAATTAATTTTTCATAAGTCACTTTTTAATTTTTTATAATTTTAATGTATTAGTTTTAAATTTAAAAAAAAGTAATTATAAGTCCAATTTTATCATTAAAACTTGACTTTTTTTTATTTGATATAAATTCTTCAAAGACTTTTAAATAGCTAGGGTAAGTTGACGAATTTTGAGCAGCATCAAAATTTGTGCTAACAGCCTTTCATATCAAAAAAGTCACACTGATGCTAATTTAATCAAAGCGTTGTTTCAAGTTACAGTTAGTACAACCTTTCCGCATCAAGTTACTGCTAACCCCATGTCAGTAGTCCAAATATTTATATTAAAAAAACTTTAATAAGTTATGATACATCGGTTTTTCAGGTAAAGTGAAAAAACGTAAATCGTTTTACACTTAACTGTACAAAAATGAAGCACGACATTTCTTTGAAAGAAGTACTAATTGTTCACCCAAGTTTAACAAATATGTTTGGAAAGGTAAAAAAAAAAAAATAATAATAATAATAAACAAATACTTTTTTGATGTAAAAAATTTCTGCATGAATTATTGAAAGCATCATATTTTGTGCATTATGCTCGAAATTTAATTTACACAATATTAAATTTCCTGCATTATTTTATTTTTACCTAACAATGATTTTGAATGCTTTTATGGTTTTGACTATCTTTAAAAGTATTCTTAAGGTTGCTAGTGACGTTTTTAAGACAAAACAAAAAAATTAAAGCAACAGCTGCAAAATTATCCGCATGGCTGGATTTTTTTTAACTAAGCAATATTTGAATTCAAATTTCAACTTTTTAAAAATATAGTATCATCATAGTAGAATATGTAAGTAATAATTTTTTAATCAAGTTTGTTATTGTGACTATGGACTCTAAGAAAAGACAGAAGTACCAAAAATATAACGAGGAAGCTGTTATGGCCGCTGTTGCTGATGTTCGAGACAATCATTTTTAATGGAGAAAGGTAAGTTTAAAATATAATGTACCTTCTCAGACAATCGGTGATAGAATAAATGGCAGTCACGGTGCCACGAAACTAAAAATAGGTTAGTGTTGTTTAAAATATTTATTTACTTACTATGCTAGATATAATTCTGCATAAGCAATAAAATTGCATAAGATTTTTTCAGAAGTTAACATATTTTTTTTACTTTAGGTCACAAACCTGCTTTAGAAAAAGAGGACAAAGAAAGAATAAATTTTTTTTTGATTAAAGCAGCAAAAATAGGATATGGTATTTGCCAAAACGATGTACCAAGCATAGTAAAAAATTATTTAGACATTAAAGAAAAGCAACATATAACAGAGCATCGACTTAACAATAATGAAAAAAATGATATGATAGCTCATAGAAAGTTTGTGAATAGTCTGCCATGCAAGTTTTAGATCTACAGGTAAATAATTGCTACTCTATTAAGTGTTTTGAATATATAATAAAGAAATAACACAAAATTTTAGATTTTGATTGACCTATGATTGTTTTGTATCTGCTTAATTTGTGTTTAATTTGATAAACCTGGTTTTTTTTTTTACTTTTGATAGGTTTTTCAGGCATTCAGATCTTGCAAGAAGAATGCCTGAAAATTTGGGCCACCAGCGGCGAAACGTTTCTCATGCTAAAATCAGACAATTTTTTACTGACCTGGAGAATTATTTGTTTGAAGAACACCAAATAAACGCTTCAGAGTTCTTATACCAGAAAACTCTAGTAAAGTGTTTAATTTAGACGAAGCAGGGTTTCCATTAGCAGGGACATTAGGAAGGCTAAAAATAATTTCCTCAAAGGGTATAAAGAATGTTTATTGCATAGCCCCTGACACAAAAATGCAAATAACAGTTCTAGGCTGTGTACCCAGAGGTGAAAACTACCAAAAACCTATAGTTATATTTCCAGGAGCACAGCCTTGTTACAATTTAGACCATGTAAATCCATCTGACTAAGTTCAATTCTTAATTGTTTTTTATTTTATTGGTTTATAAAAATTTCTAAGTATTTTTTAGTTTTCTTTTAAACATTAACGAAAGATATATTTTCAGTGCCGTTTCAGAATAATATTTGACAAATAATGTTTGGGGCTCATCCAAAAGGTTTTTGATGTAGCTTATATAACTCTAAAAAGTTTTTTTATTATCATCACTTGTTTTTACTGATCCTAAAAGTTAAGAGGACCTTTTAACTTTTAGGACCTGTAAAAACATTTATTATTAGGCCCAGTGATCGAACCTATAAACAGGCTTGATCACTAGACCAAATAAATAGCCGCATGCCCCACATTATGTTCCAACAAATAATCCAACTCTCAGACATTTAATCACTAGCAAAATATTTGCAAAAAACTGTATATGAATTAAATATTGTATCTTGAATAAATCTACTCAATTTAAATTATAAAAAAAACGAAAACACGAAATTAAATTTTACTTTGTCAACTTGCACGAAATTGTACAAAAAAATTCATAACGAAAAACAAAAAAATAAATAAAATATAGTATTTAATAATTGCCTAAATTATTACTATTTTGTAGGTAAAGCAGTTGGCTACCTAAATTGAGCTCATTATACTTTTGGTGGCAGTTTGGTTATATTCTATAACATTTACGGCAAATGTTCAGCAAACTGCCCGAAATTCGCCAACTTACCCTAACCTAATATTACCTTGCAATTAAAACTTCAGACTTTTTTAACGATGATTCTTTTAAAAAGTCATCTTCAAACCATCTATGAAATCTAAAAAAAGTAATTTTATGAAATCTAAAAAAAGTAATTTTATGAAATCTAAAAAAAGTAATTTTATGAAATCTAAAAAAAGTAATTTTATGAAATCTAAAATAAGTCATTTTATGAAATCTAAAAAAAGTCATTTTATGAAATCTAAAAAAAGTCATTTTATGAAATCTAAAAAAAGTCATTTTATGAAATCTAAAAAAAGTCATTTTATGAAATCTAAAAAAAGTCATTTTATGAAATCTAAAAAAAGTCATTTTATGAAATCTAAAAAAAGTCATTTTATGAAATCTAAAAAAAGTAATTTGATGAAATCTAAAAAAATTAATTTGATGAAATCTAAAAAAAGTAATTTTATGAAATCTAAAAAAAGTCATTTTATGAAATCTAAAAAAATTTTACTAAAAACTAATTCAAAAATGATTTAATTTAAAACTGAAATTTTAAATTTTTTGTTACCCACTAAATAAT